GAAAGAGACAGAAGATCTGGAGGCTTTCATTTTAGCAACTCAAAACCCTACGTAGGAATCTGCACTGGGTGTCAAGCCAGACATGAGGAGCACACATTCCAGTCTGAAACAAAAGACAGCAATAGACATTTCCCAGGAAACTAATGTGTTAAGCTTTATGTTTTCCACTTTTTTTTCCTTGTTTTGTAATTCTCTGTCAGTGACCAGTCTCTGTCCCAGATAGAACTTGAATATGTGAATGTGGACTGTCATCACTGTGCAAAAACCTCCATAGATGCAAGCTGTTAGTTCCTTACTTTAATAAGCTTTAGTAATCTCCTCATACAGCTTTCCTTAATTAAACGTATCCAGGAAGGATTTCTTTAAGAAGAAAGGGATGTCTGTGCAAATTAATGTGGAAATACTAGACATAATACATGTATCCATATGCCAGTCTAAGAGGACAATGAGATTTTTTTAATTATTATTCCTGCTATGTCTTTACAGTTAAATAGACCCTAGCTTTATTTCTAGAAAGAAGGAAGGTTTACATTTTGTTCTTTTAAAGGTCTGAATATGATCTGCATTTAAGCTTCCATATACTATACCTTTTTTGTTGGTTCTAATAATTGTCTCAGACAACAATAAAGGGCTTCCATTGGAAACTTCATTTATAGGCTTCTCTGGTGGTTTGTTGGCAGTGGTTTCTTTCTTCATGTCCTTCTTTATTTCCTGCAGAAGAAAAGGCAGGTGGAGAGGGAGAAAAAAAAGAAGAAACCGTTAAAAAAAAGGCATTACAGAATATTATAAATGTCATGCTCCCAAGATTTCTTAAAACTTCTATGTATACACCCCTGCCTATTCTAATGCTACCTCAAAGACTCTTTATAAGTTGAAACGTCACAAAATGAAAGTAATTTTCAGTAACTCTTCCAACCGATAATTTTTTTTTTCTTTCTAAAAGAGGTAAATTCCTTGTTTATGTGTGAAAATTGTAGGACAGCTTTGCAAATCTCTTAGTAAAGATCACCAAAGCTGAAAGGTGGGAGGGAAAAAAAAAAGACCTCTCAGTTTATCCATTGATTAGCTGTACATTTGACGTACAGGGCAGAACTGGGTACAGTGCTCCTGATGTAAAGGCAGCTAAGTCTGCTTCCCCTCTGTTGAGAAGCCCACAGAAACAACCACCATAGCAGGAAGAAAAATATTAACTAGGAAAACATGACAAATTTTACCATAATTGGCAGAAGCTTATAGAGAGCCTGCTGTCAGAGCCGTTGCTAACACTAACACATTTTGCAGTTGACTACCTTTTAAGGTGATCGACAACTTTGGCAGCACACAGAGAAAATATGTATGGTGGAGTTTCATGAAAGTAAACCCACAGAAAACAGCTTCCCAAGACTTCACAGTTAGCGCTTGAGAAAATCCACAATACCTCTCTATCAGCTTCTTAGGCAGACTTTAAAGGTGTAACTGCTTCGTTGTCTATACCTACTTTGCCAAAGCATCCAAAATATCATAGCCTTTCGTGTATCTTATCTTGAAACACCACTGAGGTAGACAAGTAGTGTTACCTCCACTTCAGAGATGGGTAACTGATGCACTAAAGAGGGTAAACCATTTGCTTATAACCACATACCAAAACATAAGTGAAAAATAGGTTGTTTTGGCTCCAAGCTTTGTCCTAGGTCAGAATCGCAGAGCCACTCAGGCTGCGAGGGACCTCAGCAGGTCTCTACTCCAATCTCTGGCTCAAAGCAGGGCTGCCTCTGGGGTCACACCAGGCTGTTCAAGGCTTTGCGCAGTTGGGTCTTGAAAACCTCCAAGGACAGAGACTGCACAACCTCATGAGCAACCTGCTCCACTGCTTGACTGCCCTTATAGTGACAAAAATTTTCCTTATACCCAGCCTGAAACTTTCTTTTCAAGTCTCGTCTTCTCTCTCCTGTCCTCCCCATCAGGCACCACTGTGAAGGTCCTGGCTCTGTCTTCTGGATAACCTCCATGTTTGTATTGTAAGGTGCCCCCAAAGCTGTCCTCTCCAGGCTGAACAAGCCTACCTGCCTCAGCATCTCCTCACAGGGCACATGCTCCAGCTCCCACAACCACAGAACTTGCTCCAGTTTATCAATGTCTTTCTTTTACTCGTGGACTCAAAATGGGATGCTGTATTGTGGATACGGACTAGTGCCAGGTAAAGGAGGATTATCACTTCTCTTAATGTGCAGGCTGTTAATGCAGCCCAGGACACTACTGGCTGTGTTTGATGCCAGGGTACATGACTGGCCTATGTTCAGCTCGCTGTCCACCAGGACCCACAGGTCCTTTTCAGCAGAGCTGCTCCCAAACCCATCAGGCCCTACCCTGTATGTCTGCCAGCAATTCCTCCTTCACAAGGACAGCAACTGGTGTTTGACCTTGCTGGATTTCATAAGGTTTCTGTCTGGGTCCCTCTGAACAGCAGCCCTGCCTTCAAGCATATCAACTGCCCCTCTCCGATTTGGTGTCATCTGCAAATTTGATGAGATCTTCTACATTGAGCAGCCATCAGGGATAGGTGATGGCTTCGGACAAACTCCCTAGTAAAAAACCTCTACCACTCCCCTTCCCTTTCAACTGTCATACATTCACTGCCCTCTTCTACAGCCCAGTGTAGCAGCAACCTCCACCATCCCACAGCACTGCACTATACACAGGAAATACTGTAGATCTTATTTAGGTTTCCAGCATATCAGACATGAGCACTAAACCATAGAAAGCAAATTTCTCTTTGAAGTTTCTGAAGTTGTTATCTGAGAACAGCATCAAGCAAAACAAGAATTTCCAAGTCACTCTCTATAAGATACACTTTAACCCTGAATTTCATAACTGGGGGGTTGGGGGGTGTTAACTTTTTATGTCCCCAGTCCAACTGGTATTTCAAAGCTGAACTATTAGCTGCACAACATTAATACACAAGGCATTTACTGTGTATCAGTATTCCATTAGCAGAGATAAAAGTTTTATAAACTAATGCCCACTGAGGGTACAATGAATATTTTATCTAGTGCCATAACACAGGTAAAATAGTACCTAAAATCCAACTTATCACAGTATCCATCATAACTGAAATAACAAATGTTAATGAATATGTGTATGAAAGGTGAATGCGTCTGTGTGATAGATGTTGCTGTTGTTAGAAGAAGAAATATTGCATACAATTCTTGTATGTAAGTGAACCACAGGATAATTTAAGAACACCGCATGCATTTAGAAGAAAATGTTATATCACTTTCTTTAAAAAATGGACTAGACTAATACATACATTATTCCATGAGCTTTTTTTCCACAGCCTTAAAAATTAAAATATATAATAAATGAGTCCACCCAAAGCTTGTTGTATTGAAGTTTTAAATTTGTTTTGCAGCCAGGTGACAAACTCATGGTATATTTAAAAACTACCTGCAGTTTAAACAGAATTTGTGAGTCAAACAGCACTCTCGTGTGAACAGGACCACAAGATAACAGCCTACAGAAGACCCCATCTTGCCAGAACTTGCTTCCTGTGTGTCATTAGTCTGTTATTTTCCATTCTTTATGTCAGAATGTAATTCAATCCTCAACTCACAAACTTTGAAACAACGGTACAATGGTTTTTATTTTTAAAATCCTACTTGCAACTTCAAACATGACCGAGAAAGTTGTCTGCTATAAGAGAAAGCAGTGCTGCAGCCTCAACTCTGCAGATGAATGACTCTGGTGCCTTTGCTGCTGCTGACAGCTTTTTGAGGAAGCCTTGTTTTGCTCC